TGTTGTTGTTATGTGCTGTGGAGTCGATTCCAACTCACAGCAACCCTGCACAGGGTTTCCGAGGCTATAAATCTTTATGGGAGCAGAAAGCCTCATTTTTCTCCTGCGGAACAGCTGGTAGTTTCGAACTACTGATTCTGAGGTTAGCAGCCCGATAAGTAACCACTCTGGTACCAGAGCTCCTTCCTTCTTTCTTATCCATAAGCATGGTATATTCCTTCATTTCTGTAGGTCTCTTACAGTAGTCTTTTGTAGTTTTCTTTGTATAGGTCTTTTGTTTCTCTGTTTAGAGTTATTCCTTAGTATTTCATCTTTTGGGTTGCTATTGTAAATGGTGTTGTTTTTCTGATTCCATTTTCAGAATTCTCTTTATTATTGTAAAGGAAGCCAGCTGATTTTTGTATGTTGATCTTGTACCCTGCTACTTTGTCAAGACTTTCAGTGTGTTCTAATAATTTTCTTGCTGAGTCTTTGATTTGATTTGATTTTTTAACTTTTTATTGTGAATTGAATGAAGATTTACAGACAAGATGTTCAGTTTTACATTCAACAAATACACTTTGTTTCATCTCAATGATTATAATCCCCTCCCTGCAGCAACAGTTAACCTACTTCCTTTCTGTGGCTCCCCATTTAAATCACATATTTCATAAATGAACAAAGGAAAAATATTTGTATATATACAAAACAAAAAATATATATTCATTTAAATGTCCAAAGGGCACATTTCTGCAAGCCAGCCTCCTGCCTGCAGACACATAGCCTTACTCACTTGATGGGCCTAACGCCTGCAGCTGGTCTGTCTCTCCATGTCACTGTTTCTGCCTCTATTTCAGCTGTCGCTGTTTTCTAGGTAAGGATCTCATGCTCCTCTCATGCTTTTCCTTCTTCATGGTCCTGGGATTGTCTGTTCTTGAAATGAAAGATGAACTACTCCCCCTGTAGTTACACACCTTAAACAATTATAGTTGTGACAATCACAATTAATCCTGTAGCAGTTATTCACAATTGAATCATAAAAGCCTGTCACTGTTGTCCCCCACCTCTTTTCACCAGCTCAGTCTGGAAAAGAGGAAAACTATTCAGTGGGGATTCTACCTTATCCCGCTCATTCTGAAACTAAGCATATTCATTGAAAGCTTATAAACTAGCCACTTCATACATTTGGGTTATTCAGTCGATCCCGACTCATAGCAACCCTGTATAGGTTTCCAAAGAGCAGCTGGTGAGTTTGCAACCACCGACTTTGCAATTGGGGCGTAGCACATTATCCTGTAACACCACACCAAGACTTCTCATGCCTTTTTAGCCCCCTGACCCCCAACTTTGATTGCCAGTGTCTAAACTATCTGTCCTTATCAACCCAGTAAGAAGTTCTGGTAGTATAGTGGTTACAAATTGGGCTGCTAACCTCAGGGTCATCAGTTTGAAATTACCAGCTCTTCTGTGGGAGAAAGATGAGGCTTTCTGTTCCCGTAAAGATTTATAGCCTCGAAAACCCTGTACAGGGTCAATATGAGTCTGAACCAACTCCATGGCATAGAACAACAACATCAACCCAGTACACTGTGGAAACAAGTTTGTTCCTTGATATGACGAATCCTTCCATTCCAGTTGGAATTTTAAGCAACTGTACCCAGAAACAAAAGTCCAGTTCTTCATATTTTAGCAATGTGTGCTTGCTCACAGTATCAGACATCTTCATCTTCATCTGGTGGAGTTCTGGTCAGCTAATCATCCAAGCTAGGTCAAATAGGTACTAGCTACAAGTTTGGGAGTTAATGCATACCTACTTGCCCTTCATACCAGCCGGCCACTTAACTCTCAGCCCTAGCTCCCTGAGGCTTGGTCAGTGCCCAAGGGTTCAGGAGTTTACACATCTCAGCCTTTGCGATTATCTGTGTATAAGATCATTTCATCTGTATCTAGAAATAGTCTTACTACTTCCTTGACAATTGGATGCTTTTAATTTCCCATTGTCTTAAAGCTCTGGCTAAGATGTCCAGCACAATTTTTTCTAGATTTTCAAATTTCTTGGAGTACAATTCTTTTCTTCTTTTTTCTAAGGTTTTATTGTGAATTGAGTGATAGTTTACATGGGAGAACATCTGTTTTACATTCATCCTATCATATTTTATAACACTCAGGAATATATAATCATTTAAACAGCTAACCAAAGGGCACATTCTACAAGCCTGCCTTCTGGCTGCCAGCACACAGTCTGCAGTCCTCACCTGCTCTATCTTTCCATGTATCATCTCTGCCTCCATCTCTGGTGTCACTACTTCTCTGAATAGGGTCGCACATTCTGCTCATGCTCCTCTCCCTTGATGATCCTAGGGTTCTCTGTTCCTGGACTGTAATGTAAGATTAACTACTCCCCCTTTTATGTTACAAAACTTCTACCTTTACAGTTGTGACGGTCGCAATTAGTCATGATAACAGTTACTCACTTTTGAATAATAATAAGAGTCTTATCCGCATCTCTTTTCACCAGACCCATCTAGACAAAATGAAAACATCCAGTGGGGGTTCTACTTTCAGACTCTGAACCTAAAGTCCCTCTTGAAAATTTGTAAGCCAGTCACTTTGTGCCTTCATTGCCCACCCCACTCCCCATTTTGATAGTCAGTGTCTAAGCTGCCTGTCCCTATCAACCCTTTGTAGAGGGAGGGATAGGATTGATCCTTTATGTGAAAATTCCCTCTCTCTCAGTTGGTATGTTGAGCTACTATATAAGTATAGGTCAAGTTCCTCAAATTATAGCAATTTATACTTTATCAAAATTTTTTCATCTTCCTCTAGTCAAGTTCTGATCATGAAGCCATTGAAGCTAGGTCAGATGGGTACTGGAGTACAATTCTTCATAGCATTCTGTTACTCTCTATTTTATTTCCATCATTCTGTTGTGACATCACCCATATCATTTGTTTGTATCTTTTGCTTTTCTGTTAGATTTGTCTGGTGGCTGTAGGCTTATTTTGCTGTTCTTTTTTAATAGTTGGAGATGTTGGGTGTAGATGTGGATTTTCTTTTTGTATATGTGTGTTTATTACTAAAACACAAAAACAAAACAAAAAACCCTCTGAGCATTGCTTTTGCTGTTCCCATAGGTTTTGTTATATTGTATTTTTGTTCTTATTCAGTTCTAGGGATTTTTTTTTTTTTTTTTTTTTCAGTTTTTGTTTCTCCTACTACCCCATAGGAACTTTGGTAGTGTAGTGGGTTACAAGTTAGGCTGCTAACCAAAAGGTCAGAAGTTTGAGTCTACTAGCTGCTCCCATAAAAATGAGGCTTTCTGCTCCCATAAAAATTTTACGGCCTTGGAAACCCTGTTCAGGGCCATTGAGTCTGAACTGACTCCATGGTACGTAACCACCACTACCCAGTAGCTTCTAAGCAGGGTGTTATTCTTTTTTTTCCTATTGCTGATTTCTAATTTATAGCATTGTGATCTGAAAAGATGCTTTGTAGTATTTTGATGTTTTTAACATTTATTGAGGTGGCCTGACTTATCGTCTCTTCCGGTGAATGTTCCATCTGCACTGGAAAAGAATGTATATTGTACTGTTGTTGGGTTGAGTACTCTGTATGTGTCTGTGAGGTCAAGTGAGTTGATTGTGTTGTTTTCTTCTGTGTGTCTTTGTTGCGTTTCTTTATAGTTGTTTTGCCCTTCATTAAAAGTGATGTATTAAAATCTCCTTCTAATAATATGTGGAGTCCTAGTGTAGCACTGTAAGATAAGCACTGAACTGGTAACCAAAATGTGGGTGGTTCTAACCCACCAGCTGCTTCTTGGAAACCCTATACAGGATTGCTGAGAGTTGGAACTGACTCGTCAGCACTTACCAACAGCAGGTTTGATTTGAAGGGGTATTAATTTTCTATGAGGTTACCTTGTAACTTACGAAATTTTTTCCCCATATAAAATGGTCTGTTTTATCTTGAAATCTATTTGACTTCCTTGCCATTTGGAAGTTCTATATATAGTATTCCCTTTTTGCTTTGTATTTGACTTTATTATAAATTTGGTATCTCTGGTTCCCTATTATCAAGGCTATACTTTCTATGGGAGCAGATCTCCAGTTCTTTTCCCTACAGAGCCACTCAATGGATTTGAACGGCCATGTTTTTGCTTAGTAGCCAAGCACGTAACCACAGCACCACCAGGGTTCTTTAGCTTTCTTCTTACTAGAAGGCAGATGCAGCAAAAGAGAAAATTGAACATTTTCTTTAAGCTGAAAGAGCCAAAGTAAGACCCAGACAGTATTTCTGCCTGTTATGTTTAGAGAACTGGACTTAGTAAAACAAATTTGAGTGCAGAAAGCTGGACAGCTGACCTGCTTTAGGTCATAAAGGTAACTCTGGTTTGGGTGTATCTAGAAACACAGATTGCAGGATTTTTATTATCTTTTTGTTTGTTTGTTTTTAAATCTAGATCCAAAGATTATTTGAAGTCTTTTGACATGGCTTTATGTTGTTAGGTACCGTCGAGTTGGTACCAACTCATAGCAACCCTATGCACAACAGAACGAAACACTGCCTGGTCCTGGGGCCAACCTTATAATTGTTGCCACACTTCAAGAAACTATTCTGCCCCATGGTGAATGTGTTTGGAGTAGATGTATATGGCGTTAAAGGGTCTTTTGAGTTGTATAAGAGGAAAAAATCTTTATATTGATGTGCCAAGTGCTAGAAAATACTTTTTTGGGAAATAATATACCCAAGGAACTCACCTGATTTTAGATGTGTACTAATCCTGGTGATGAGCTTTTGGTTAATGCTGAGTAGATGTGAAAGGAAGGCAGAGAAAGAAAAAAACTGTTATGGTGGGATAGATAGACTGGATTTTTTTTTTTTTTTTTTTTTAGTTCTAGGAATAATATGCTACATGCTTGCTTGCTTCATTTTTATTAGTGATCAGTAAATAATACTTTTATTCCTTTTACCTTGTAAACAGGGTATAACTTCTTTTAACCCTTTTCTTTCACCCTGAATAGTCTGAAGATGATGAGAAGCTAAAAAAGAGGAAGGAGCGGTTTGGGATTGTCACAAGTTCAGCTGGAACTGGAACCACAGAAGATACAGAGGTAAAATATACCCAGAATGTTCCATGAAATCTCTGAAAGGAAACGAGGGTGAATAAACTGAGTGGGGAAACTCTCTTTCTTAAGTCTCCAAATGACAAGATTTTTTTTCCCTTTGCTTGATGTTTTCTGCATGAAGTATGGCCACACTGAAGACCATATATTTAATTCAGTGTTAAAGCCTGTTAGTATAGTAGGAAAGAACACAGACCTGGCAATCAAGTAGGCTTGGGTTTGAAAAGTGGCTCTGCTACTTAGTATTTTAGTAGTACTTGTAAGTTACAGTACTTTCATCATCTGTGAAGAGAAGACCCACCTCAAAGTGGTATTGTAAGAATTAATGAGATGATTCTATGAAAAAAGAGATGAGTCTGTATAAAATGCTTGGCATGGTGTCTATCATATTGTAAGTATTCAATAAATATTAGTGTTGATTATTGTTATCTGCCAGCCATATTTCTTTTGATCATTTAATGAAGGCCATCTCCAACCCAGGAAGGAGCAAGAATAGTTATAGGGGTAGACTCAAATGAGATTTCTCCTCACTTGGTTTACAAGTAGTTTCTCAAAATGGAAGAGTGACTTTTTATAAGACTTATATTCTTTCATAATCCAAACTTCCCACATTCACTGAGACTGAGTACTGACAAACAGATAATCCTGATGAATCATATCAGTCAGTCTTTGAAAGAAACCCTGAAAACTTGGAGTCTTGTCAGTTTACCCTCTCTGCTAGGAAAAACTAAAGGAGTTTGTATTCTATTTGCTATTAATTCAGAATAAAGCATTATTATAAAAATACTTAATGAGCCATGGTGACATCGTTGCTAAGTTCCTGAGTGACTGCTGTCCTAAAGATCAGTGATTTGAACACACCAGCTCCTCTGGGACAAAGATATGATAGTCTGTTTGCCTAAAAATTACATACAGCCTTGGAAACTCTGTGGGGCAGTTCTTCTCTGTCCTAGGCGGTCCCTATGAGTAGGAATTGGCTTGACGACAGTCTTTGTTTGCTTGTTTTTTATAATGATTGCATACAAAGATAAGTCAAAAAGTATTACTACTGGGATTCTAGTTCATACATACAAGAGTTTATTTCAAACAGAGTGTGTTTAAACACGTCTCTGTAATCAGTAGATAGATGGCTATGGACAAATTCTCTCAATAATACACTAATCTTAGTCTCATTAGTTGTTGTTAAGTTGAGTCAGTTTTGACTCATAGTGACCCTATATAGTTTCTAGGGTGAGTTTGAACCATTGACCTTGTGGTTGCACCCAGATGGAGGATATGTCAAGAAACAACAGTGACTCCATTTTATATTTTTGTTAACAAAAGTTTCTGTTATTTTGTAGCAGTACTTTTTAATTAATCCTCATAAAATGGTGAGCTGGAAGTAAATTTAGTTTTTTTTAAATTCTAGTTAAAATTACCCTCTCTTTGCTAAGGGACTTGTTGTTACACCAGAAGAGAGATGAGAATTTTGTGAAGTGACAAGGAAACTGGTTTTTATTGGGAAGAGTTGCTGTGTGTTCTGGAGTAGTAATTTCTGAGGCCAATAGAGATTATATGAACCAAATCACTTTTATGTGATTCCAGAGAATTGTGTCAATAGTCTAGGTGGAGTGGGCTGGGCTTGTGTGCACGTAGCTTTTTCTGTTTAATCTAAATTAAACCTCTGTTTGAGTGGGATGAAGAAAATGTCCCCTCTTTTCTCAGGGCACTGGTTGGAGTGAGGGTGAAGGACTCAGTGCTGTTTTGTGAGTCATTCTCAGAACAAAAAGATCTTTCTCCTCTCCCCACCATTTCACCAGTTTTGTACCCTCTGTCCAATTCTACTTAAGAGATCCTTGACAAGGACTCACCCACATCCCCCACCCCGTTAATTCTGTTGGCATTGAAGATTTATATTTCTCTCTGTGAGTTTGGAAGCCTAAGGAATAGCCCTGAAGGGCATCCCCCTTACCTTCTCCCTGAATAGGGTTGGTTAACCCTTTGTCCTCTGAAACTTCCCATCTTCCCACTGACTGCAAAACTCTCCCCAGCCTGTTAAAGAGTTCATTGTTTCCAGGCTAGTTTGCTGTAGGGTTGAATGGCCTCTTTTCAGGAATCTTTCCATTTTTCTACCACTATCTCTCTTAATCTTATTTCTTCTGTACCCTCCTTTTTCTTCTAAACCTCCCCAGCTCTTGCTGTAACTAGAGAGATTCAGGAATGAAATCTCTGGCTTCCAAATTTAAGCTTGGGCCATCCCCTCCCTCTTGGATCTTGTGATAGGCCATGTGCATATGGATTAAAGTATCCAGGAACCCAGGCCACTATTGTCTTACAATCTAATGTTTTTGTTCTTGTTTCTTTCTTATAGGCAAAGAAGAGGAAAAGAGCTGAGCGCTTTGGGATTGCCTGATGAAAAATTCTTGATGCTTTCTGTTCTTTAATGGTTTCCATTGCTCTGATTCTTCTTGGTCACATACATACCTAAATGCACAGTCATGTGCCTAGTTCCTGCCTCTCAATGAGGGAGCATGTACCCCAGGTACATCCGTGAACTCCAGCAGCAGTTTGACTTACTGCTGTTTCAATTTTAAGGTGTCGTGTTTTGTTTTTGGTTGTTTTTTATTATTAGTATTATTATTTTGCTTGTTAATAATAATAAAAAGACTAAAAAACAGAGTAATGTGTTTTATTAAGTAGTGCTTTGAGTTGTTAGAGTCAGATTAGACTAGATAAGGGAAGTAAGTACCAGGGGAAGATATTACAGGAAACTAGCCATAATGTATTTACCCTTTAGAAAGGCAGATGAGGGAAAGGATTGAGTGAATCTGTCCCATTAAACTTTTTTGTTCCCTTCTCTCATGTTCATAGGTATCCTCTTACCTCTTTATTCAGAGGTCAATTTACCCACTGAATCTTTGCTTCAACTGGTTGATTAACCCAATATTGTTGTTATGTGCCATGGAGTCGGTTCTGACTCAGTGACCCTGTACATGGTTTCCAAGACTGTAAATCTTTGAACTGCTGACTCTGAGGTTCGCAGCCCGATTCGTAACCACTACGCTACCAGAGCTCCTTTATATAATATATATCCCAATATATTATGTATATCCCAAATATATATTATTATATATCCCAATATAATAAAGGAAAAATATGAGTCTTAGGAGGTGTAAAGAATATAAATCCAAGGACTAATGATTGGTAGAGTTCTGGTGTAGTAGGATAAGTACTGCACTGTTAACCCCAGGATTGAAGGTTCAAACCCACCAACCTCTTGTTAGAAACCCTATACAGGGTTGCTATGAGTCAAAACTGATCCAACAACATTAAACGACAATGATGGGCAGTTTTATAGTATAGGCTAATAAACATTTTTCTTGGATACAGTGGAACCCAGAGTTCCACAGAAACGCCCTCTTTTCAAGTGTGGAAATGGATGTGATGTGATAATGTCTGGTTTCAGCTGAAGCCAATATGTGAGGCCCTATTGGTTAATAACAGTTCAGGAAGGGAGGTTGGCTAGATACCCCTCAGAACTAGTAGAAAGCATAGGGATTCAAAGCGTAACAATGTCAGAGATGTTGAGCATTGGGAATGTAAGCAGTAGTATTCTACCTTCTAATCAAGCCCCAGAGGGATGCTTTTGCCATTTTGGTGATAATGTTTCTTCTTGGATATTACTAACATTCACTTTCTTGTTGATCCTCCTACTTAAGAGAAGGTTTGGCTCTCCCCTAGCTGGCTGCTTGTTTATGTTTGAAGTTTCACTTGGATCAGAGACCTGTTATTCAATCTTTCTGGATGTGTTTGTGTGGGGTTTTTCTCTTAATCTTTATTAGTGGACATATGTATAAGGTTTTTTGATAATAAAACCTAAGAGCCTAGCCCCTTATCTTAAGACTTTGATAACAGAATCAGATTCAAGTTGCTGTTGCATGGTCCTGTCTTTATTTTAACCAAAACTTGCCTAGTTCTGTTACATTCCCTTTGTAACATGAATCTCTTTCTTCCTGTAGTGTTAGGTTGTTGAAGAGGGACAGAAACCTAACAGACATTTACAGAAAACTGTACCTTGGAGAGGAGATCCAAAGGTTGTCTTTGTTGTGAATTTTGCCCCATTCTGAGACTTTGGAGAAGTTAACAAAAGAGAAAGATAGTGCAACCTTTGACACCTCAGCTAAATAAACCTTAATAGTTGGAATGACTTTCCCTTCCTTTCCTCTGGCTTCTTTTGTCGTCCTCCCTTTTCTCACTCCAGGTTGATATTGAGGCTAACTTTTCCTCTCTGTTTTCATTTGAAAACAGAAGCAGAGAGAATAGTTTTGGTGTGTAGCATGAGAGAGATTGTAGAGTTCAGTAAGGATTTTCTTTCCAAGAATAGTGAAAAAAAGAAATAGGTAAGGGAACAGAGCAGAGGCTAATAATGAAGCAGTAGACCCTTTAGAAGTTTTCTTCACTTTATCTTTTGAGTATCCTTTTTAACTCTTATTCAGTAAGTGTTTTCCAATTTGTGCACATTTTCTTTTTTTTTCTAGAAGCTGTGCATTCGTTAGAATTTTCCATCCTCCAAGTCTGGTAACTATCCTCCCATTCCTATCATAAATTAGTGTTTAGCACAAATAGTTCAGGATGCCTATGTCTTTTGACCAATTCAATCTTAAAGTAGTAGGTCCCCTTAGAAACAGAACAGGCATCCAAGCTTGTAGTTCTTTATCTAGGATCCAGGATCCAAGTACCTTTCCTTAATAGTGTCACCAATCTAGGATCCAGATGTGTTTAGCTATTAGTTGTCTTTTCCTTCTCCTGAAGCTGTGACATTCTCTGCATACCTGAAAGCTCTTAATGAGGAAGTCTATAAAAAAAAAAAAACTGGAGGGAACTTGCTTCCTCAGCTGTAAATCTGTACTTTTTTATGGTTCTCTAGGATCATTCTTTTTTTCTACCTCCACTTTAAACTGTCCCTACCTACCTGGGAACCAGTGAACATAGAAAGCTAGCTGTTTCTGGGAGTTGAGGACTATAGGAAGGAAGACATGAATAAGGGCAGGACTTTTTGGTTTTAACTTGAGACCTAATGCCCTGTCCTACTAACCCTGGGAGTCCTGGTGTGCTGTGGTGTGCACTGGACTGCAAGGTCAGTTTGAACCACAAGGTTGGTGGTTCAGGCTCACCAGCTGTTCTTCAGAAACCCTATACAGGATCGCCACGAGTCAGAACTGACTGGAGAGCTCAAAACTGCCAGGTCTGGCATGAAAAGCAGATGAAAGGGAAGGGTGGAACTTAGACTGGTAAGGGGAAAGAAACTGCTTTCCATGTTCTCTATGAGAGTCTTTAGGCTGGTTATTGACGTTCCTTCACCCCACCCCCAGTCTAACCTGGCACTGCAGGATAATGTGCTGGACTACAAGATCAAGTTTGAACAACATGGTCAGTGGTTCAAACTCAACAGCCACTTGTCGGAAACCATATACAGGGTCGCTATGCGTTCGAACCAACTTGACAGCACTTACCAACAAAGGATTGAAAATGGCAAGTGTCACACTTTTGGGTCCAAGATGCTACCAATCTTTATCATTTCTCTGTGAGTTGCCCTGTGTTTAGTTTTTCCACCTCTCAGATCACCATTAATAGAATATTGTGCAGCAACTACTTAGGTTTAATTCCTTGTTCCACCACACTAGCTCTGAAATCCTTGGCAAATTAATCATCCATGACTAGACTCTATACCAATAGGAACCCTATTGTGAAAGTTATTGTGAGAATTAAGTGATAATTATATTATGTACTCAGCACAATGTGCCTACCAATTTATATGATAAGTATCCAAAGATATAAACTCTTAATTTTACTGGATGATTACAAGAACAGTGGGGGTTTCCCAGCCAGCTTGAGAGAACTAGTTTGAGCCTGTGTATGTGCTGAGTACTGTGTGTAGGTACAGATATGCATGTGTAGTTAGGGAATTTGTAGAGTGGGAAGTAGGAAGTCCCACTTACCCCCTCACTCTCAGTTCACTGGCAGAAAGTCTGGCATTATTGATTCCTCCAGCTCTGCCTTATTAAAGAGCATAGCTGTAATGTCATTGCCTATTGGTTCTTCGTTTGGGGCCCCTTACATTGAAAATATGGGCAAAGTAGAGAATAGTTACACATGCTGGGTGGGAGGATGTTTAGGGATAAGGAAGAAATTTGAAAATCACTTTGTCTTTTCAGAGTGTCCTCTTAGACTCAGTATAGGAAACAAATGAGATATAGGGAAAAACTCATTTGGGGCTTAAGCCAAAAGCTGGGGTAGATCTTGATAAAGCAGTTTCTTTGGGAATATATAATATGTAACACTTTGTCTTCTCTCATTGTGACCTATCGTTTGTCTTGTTACTAGTTTGAAGTAGAGCTAATCTGCTGATAGAACTGACAGGATAGGGAAAGCATGGTGGCACATCGAACCCCCAGTGGCCTTATTCCCCCATTCTGGATTAGGGTAATGTCACTGAAATTACCCTAATTTGTAAGTCATGCAAGATTTCTCTGTAACCCCCAACACTTAAACTCTGCTAGTTTCGTGAGACACTGTAGGATCAGCACTGGAGTGCAAACCACCAAGTTGGCAGTTCAAACCCACCAGCATCACCTCAAAAACTCTATACAGGGTCGCTAAATCAGAACTGACTCAACAGAAGCCTCAACATTTTTTTTTTTTTTCACAGTGGAATCAAAGGAATAATTGATGCTTAACTACACTTGTTAAAATGGTAAGGTGAATGGCTACGTTGGTTTAGCTTATAGACTTTGGTAAATTTTTGTTGAGGAAATCTAGGATCAGAAACTGCAAAATAGGAGAGACAGTTGGATTACCTCATGAAAACTGTTAGATTTTCCATTCTGTGGAAGCTAGGAGAGGGTTTTTATGACCTTTAAGAGGTTAAGCTCTCCAGAGAAGAGTTGATCTAGAACTCTCTTTCCCATCCTCTGCCCTTGGGCTGCAAGTCCCAGGTCTTCATCTCACGTACCCTTACTGGTTTTTCCAAGGACTTCGTTCGTGTCCCTGAGCACATGATTTCATCCACCTTCAGATTCACTTCCCTTCTAGTTTCTGAGGTCTAGATATGGCGCTTGGCAAGGAAGAAGCCCTGAGTACTGAATTCTAAACTCTTTGACTGCTTTTATTTTTCCTTTTTTTCAGATTCAAGTGCTGGATTGTGTCATGTGACCATCCTAAAACTCAGAGCACCTTCTGGCCATCTTTGCCCTCTTGTCACATAACTTGAAAACTGCCTGATGGCCTTCTTGCAGTGGTTCCCTCCAGGAAGCTTTGATCTCAGTGAAGAAGTCCTTTCCTGGTATTTCAGTCCACAGTCCCCCTGTTAGCCCCCAATTCCTCAGACACCCTTAACAAACAAAGGCAATCACA